GGGTAAAATTACAGATTGAATTTGTTAACTAATTAAGAATTGGTAGCATAGTTAATTCAATTTTATTTTATTAAAGTAAGTCTTATCAAGTTTCTCACTTTCTCTCAAGGCTTGTGAAATTAGCTTGTTCTATGTGATGATCACCCCTACCAAGAAAAGCTATACAGAAATGAAGTGGCCCATAAACTGGCAGTTCCACAGCAGTACTTTCAGCTCCATCTATCTGGTATTTCATCATTATTTGGAAGAGTATATAAAATCACTGCTGATAAAATTTACCAATGGCGCAAAAATTGTATGATGCTAAAAATCATGGGGAGGCGCCGATTACTCACTGAGCTCTTTTCAACAGTATGCATTTTAAATCAGCAAAATATAAAGGAACAAATACTGGAGGCATTGATGAACTGAACCTAGGATTATGGTAGCAAAGCGACAGAATATGAGCTGTTAGTTGATTACTGTAGCTGAGGATGTAAATGCAGTCGTGGACAGTATAAGATTAATATAAAGTTGAAACTTCATCAAAACTTTAGTGGGTACTCGTAATTTAAAAGAACACTGAAAAATTAGGAACTTTGTTCCACTCAAGAGTGAGAGAAGGTGAAGAGGTGACTGGTTTGCCATCTGCAAGTACCTTCCTTAGGAAATAGGTTTTTTTAATAAATAAATATCTTTAATCTAGCAGGGAAAAATGTAACAATGTTCAGTAGTAAGAAGCAGACTCTGGACAAAGTTAAGTTAGAAATGAGGCACACATTTTGTGTAGTGAAAATACTTAACCAGTCAAACAGATTACTTAGGGATATGTCGGATTTTTTTTAATTGCTGTGGTTGAAACAGAATAAGTTTAAACCCAGTAATTTTTGTTTTAAATTGTTGTTATGATTTGATGCAGGAATTATGATGTGAGGGTCTTTGGTCTGTGTTGTACAGCAGATCGGACTAGATGATCATAATTGTCCCTTCTGGCCTTAAAAGCTGTAAATCTATTTGTAATCTGACTGTGGTCTCCTTGCATGGCCCATAGCAGATAATTCCTAGGAGTGGTATGATCAGATTGCATTCTGAGTAAGACTGGTGATAGCTTGCGTAGATTGTACATTTGTGTTATTTATACAACCTACTGTACAAATAGACATGTTTCTACTGGGCAACGTGTCTGTTTCCAGTTATCTACCAAGCCTTTGTGCAGATTTTACAAGCAGCATTGAATTTTTATTGTTTTACTGCATCCTGATATGAAATATTTGTTGTGAGATGTCTTGTGTCTTGTGAACCAGAGCGGTAGATAGATCAGAACTGTGATTATGTTCCCCAGATAAGTTATTTTCTATAAGATTTTTTTTTTATTGTACACATTGGAATATCCTCTCTTTTTACTCCATTGTGAAAAGGTTTGAAGGGATGCAAACACGGCAGAGAATTAGCAAGATCAGGATGGTCATTGCCTTCATGAACAATGAAAAATGACTCTTGGATATGGAATGCAGAAAACTATTTTGAAAAAATCATGTTCCCTCACTCCTACATGGCAACATTAATTTATGTGAACTGATATTAAGTGTTAAATAACTCATCCAGACTCTTGGCAGTATTACCAGGGTAGTCATTACAGTAGGATGAATTCTCTCAACTCTTTCCTCAAAGTATGAGATCCAAACAGGTGGTCTTCTAACAGGAATCATAGCCTACCTCTCTTGTCCCCTGTAGTATTCTTTGGACATATACTATTGCAGTTGGTAATAGAGTCCTGGAAATTAGGGGTACTTTAGGTTTCCACTGAAACTGGCTAGGGGTTTTAGTTAGTTTGGTTGAGGTTAGTTTGGGACCAGATTATAACTGTTTTGTTGTTTGTACAGGGACTTACACAAGGCATAGCTGGCTGTTAATTTGAATGGATGAAATAGTATCTAAATATCTGCACAATTACTGAATTTAGGAAATACTGCCACACTAAATTTAAAAGATTCAAAGATAGTTTACTCCATCCTACTCCCTTCTCCCAGTGCCTGCCCTCAAAATAGTAGCAGTTAAGATTGCTGTGAAGTAAACAAATAACTGCCAATATTTGGATCTAAAAGAGAAGAGAAAGGTTTTGAATAGTTCCCTTTGAACAATGTCATCTGGCCAGTCCTGCGTTGCAAAGGTGGCACAGCGTGTTGCTGCATGTTGAGTCCAATTTCAGACCTTCAGCTTTAGATCTCGTTTCTAGCCATGCAAGAGGTGGGAGCACCACAGAGGCAGTGTACCGAGGCCAGGAGAGATTTGACCTTTTTATCACACTGTCTCAGTCAGCGTCTTCTTTCAGTCCAATGCTTATGGCATTGGTGGGGAGCTGTGTCCAGATCTCCTCTGCTGAAAGGAAGCTCACTCAGTGCAGAGGCCTTTGAGCGGAAAATGTAATGACTGCAAGGCTTAGCAATCCAGAATAAGAATATGTTGTTGTGCCCAGTGCTTCAGACTGAAGCTACTTTAGAAGTACAAAATACTACTAGTATTTCCTCTAGTTAGTATATTTTAGCTCGCATATACCCATTTTTACACATACTTATTGCTTTGAACAGCTCCTGCATGTTTTTAGCAACATCAGGGCAGCCTATATTGCGAACTTCTCCTCTCCCTCGGTTATCCAATGGTTGACATAGCTTCTGCAATGTTGGGACACACTTTTTAATGGTGTCACTTGATGTGCAATGCAAACACACATCAAACTATCATTAGAATAAAAGGAAGTGCTCAATATAATTGTGTTCAAGATTTCCGTAAAGGCGTAGGGGATGCCGAGGAAGAACTTTTCAATTAGGAGTGAAAACTCAAAAGTGGGAGCATTTAACCTCATTAAGTCTGGTACTTGTTTTTCACCAGTCTGATTACTTCTTAGGCAACACATGAAATATCTAAGTTGTGTCAGAGGACACTAGTGGCTGTTGACAGTAACTGGTGGGACAAATATATGAATAACAGAAAATGGCTAAAAAATATTGCAGTATGTACATGCTGTAAAAACAGCATTAGTATTTGTCCACGTTCTGACTGGCAGCACAGCTGTCAGGGTTTGCACATTCCCAAGCAGCCCTGCAGAAATGCAAACAAATAGATCACCAGTGTCTTCTGTCCCCTTGTCCCTACCCCAAGCCGCCTGTGACGGGTGTGTGTCTGCACGCCGGCTCTCACTGGGGACCAGGGAAGCCCAGCCAGACGTGATCTATCTCAGCATAGTGATTCTTGCACGTCAGTAAGAGCTGTTTGCTTTTGCACAACTCCCACTGAAATGCAGTCCCTACTTCTCATTGGTGGAGTGCCAGAACTTAATTAGGTGATTGTGGAAGACTCAGAAGTTGCACTGAAATGTTTAAATCTGATTTCTTCTGTTAAGCCGTGTGGACCCAGGCCTAAGGCATGAACTGTGCCAATTCCTACCTCTTCCTCTGCCGAACACCTCTTGTTTGAGGTACTGCACTTTTCTCCTCTAAAAAGGTCGATTAATGTGGTTGATATAAAGCTCTCATGTCTCACCATTTAGCTTTAGGATTACATTATGGATTTAGAATTTCCACTGCTTGTAATTTACTTCAGCCCCATCTGGCTTGCAGCACGTATCCAGGTACTGTTCGTGGTCAGTAGCTTGCTCATGCAGGGCTCTGTGGTCATTTGAGTGTTCTGGTGTTGCATCTCATTAGGAAATTCCTGCGATCAGTGAGAGGAGCAGCTTCCCAAGTATTTACCGGCCTTTCAAGTGAGCCTGTAGCTTAAATAACAGAAGTTTGAATGTCTTTCAAAATAGAAATAATTGCCAATACTGACAGCTCGCAGGTCTTTCTGATTCCTGTCACTTTTAGTGAGGATTTTGATACTTCTTCCTTTAAACTCTGCATTGCTAACAAGTGAAAAAGTTTATATGTTCATTTGCTTAAATCTACGTTCTTTTCGGCTGTGCCTTTATGATTGTATGCGAATATTTATTATACATGTAATATCTTCCTCCTCTTTTAAAGTATAGGAAGAACAATAAAAGTTTATTGTGGGACTCAAATATATATTTAATTCATGAAAGTCATCTTATGTATTTTAAAACTCTATTCAAGCTAATCCTAGAAAAGGGCTTATGGAAGGTAAATTACACATTTTACTACTTGAGCATTATAAATGCCATTAGTACAAATTTAAAGGACTGCAAAACCAGTAGATAATGCTAATTTCAAATACAGAAACTAAATATATTTTGTACTTTTTTATTACTCGATTTCTTTTTTATTTTATTGACTACTTTTTATTTTAACTATATGTTCTTACATGCTGCAATCATAATGTAGTGTAATGATATTAATATTTTATAGAATCTGTATTTATAGTTCTTTATTTAGAAACAATGCAGTAGGTCTGCAGATCTTTGAATCCTTCTGGAATGGTGCCCTCCAAATAATGATAAATTACTTGTGCAGTATGCCATTTGCTAATTATATCCATGATTTACTGCAGAGCAAGACTTAAATCATTCATTTCAGTCTTGCGTAACAGTGCCATAAAATTTTTAGGTTTAAAAATGGTTTCCATGTGTATAATTTAAACAAATTTTAGAGCAATTGTATACACAAAATATTGCAACCATCCATTTGTTACATTCTTTGTCTCTCTTTTTTTTAAACTTGTACTTTTAATGATTACTGTGGTTGAAATTGTTATGCTTCATTTTCATAATCATAGCTTTTAATTCTACAACCGTTTTCTACATGTTAGATTAAGAAAAAGATGGCTAATTGTCTGTAGATACCATGTCATTCCTGAATAGCCCCACATTCTAGAAACCGATTTCAGAAATATTCCGTTCATGAATTAGTCTTCAATTGAAGGCATTTATTTTATAAAAAAGGAATTATTTGCTCTAAGATCTTCTTATTTTCAAGCATCTAGTGTTGATTTTTTTCCTTCACTCATCTGTACACCAAAGTACAATTTACTCTCTCTCTTTATATTTTCCTCTTTATCCATACCAATAGGTGAGAAGCCTTACAAGTGTCCACATTGTGATTATGCTGGTACTCAGTCTGCGTCCCTCAAATATCACTTGGAACGGCACCATCGGGAGCGACAGAATGGAGCAGGACCACTCTCTGGGCAGACTGCAAGTCAAGAACACAAAGATGAGACATCAAGTAAAAGTTCTGTGTTTATTAGACCAGATATATTGAGAGGAGCCTTCAAGGGGCTTCCTGGTATTGATTTCCGAAGTGGCATGGTCTCACAGCAGTGGACGTCAGGAATGCTGTCTTCTGGAGATCAGCAAGGACAAACAGCTGGCATGTCATCTGAAGTATCTTCAGAAAATATGAAGGGTTCAGACATATCTTCCAAAGGAACACACTTCTCTGAACTTGGCCGTGCTTACCAGAACATGGTTGGGAATGGTGTGAACTTTCAAGGGTCTTTGCAGGCTTTCATGGACAGCTTTGTCCTAAGTTCTTTGAAGAAAGAAAAAGAAATGAAAGATAAAGCTCTCTCAGATCCACTTTCAGCAAAAGCTCTGGCCTCAGATGGTGGCGAGGAAAAGATAAATAGCAAGTCCTCACAGCGAAAAACAGAAAAGTCACAATACGAACCTCTCGACTTATCTGTAAGGCCAGATGCAGCCTCCCTCCCAGGTTCATCTGTTACTGTGCAAGACAATATAGCTTGGCATGGCTGCTTGTTTTGTTCCTTTACAACTTCATCTATGGAACTGATGGCACTGCACCTCCAGGCCAATCACTTGGGCAAGGCTAAACGTAAAGAGAACATCATAGGGAACAACAAGGACCAATCTAGAGAAGCTTCAGCCTCAGTTAATAAAGCGAGCTTGCTCTCCTCTTCCGTGCAGTCCAGCAAGGAGGCAGTAGTTTCAAGCATGCTGAGCCAGCTGGACTCAGCTTCTGAGAAAATGACCCAGGGACAAAATAAAGAGACCCTGGGAGAGCAAAAGAGCACTGCCTGGCCCAGCCACATGGAATCGACTTTTTGTAATTTTTCAGCAGACTTCTATAAGCAGTTTGGTGTTTATCCTGGTGTTATTGGCACGGGAACACAAAATTCTTGCACCAGTAATGAATCTGAAATAAAAACACAATCCGAAGATGACCCAAATATTCTGCTCTCTGACTCTGTAAATAAAAGTGCTACTGATGACCTTTCTGACATAGCTTCATCTGAGGATATGGAGTCTTCCAAGGAAGAAAACATTGAAGATGAGGACATTGACACAGAACCAGAAATTATGAATAAACAGTTGTCTGCCCTAAATAAAGAAAGCAATGAAGGAGGCGACAATATACAAAGTGCAGTCACCTCACAACCAACGCAAGGGCTCGTATCACCACTGCCGCAAGCGTCAGAAAAGCAGTGGCACGGTCAGAATCTTCTATCTTCCCATGAAACTGCACAAGGAGTGATGAAACCCGAACAAGTTCAGGGTCCACAGGTCCTGGAGAAGCAGATGAACATGTTGTCAGTCCTAAGAGCTTACAGCTCTGATGGCTTAGCAGCCTTTAATGGACTTGCAAGTAGCACAGCAGCTAGTGGATGTATCAAGAGACCTGACTTGTGTGGTAAGTTTTAGACCTTCTTTTAGACCATTTCAGAAAACACTTGTGCAGAATCATGAAGCTGCTTTTTAAATATACTTAGTCATGTTTGTTAGTAATACATTTTTTCAAGTGTTAAACCCTGTGGGCCAAATTCTAGTCTTATATGTGGTCTACTCCAGTGAAATCAGCAGTGCTGCATGCAAATACATATACAGGATTTTAGAAAGAACTTGCTTTTTGAACTAGAGTAGCAGCAATATAGACTATCTGTGCTAGTGGCATCTGAAGGGGATACTGCTTTAGCGTACTCAAAGGAGGAAAAAGTTTTAAAAAATTTACATGGTAACTTGCAAACTTTTCAGTATTTTGATATAAGTAAGAACCCAAGAAAAACACTGGATGCTTTGCCAAGCAAACCTTTATTTCTTTTTTTTTTCTTTTTCCTTTCTTTGAATTGGGGTACCTTCAATTACCACAATATTAATGAAATCAAAGGCCAAGTGGATAGAATGTGTCTACCTGTGGTGAAGAGCCTTGCTTTTTTCTTTACTTTCCCTCCTTTTTTTAATTACATTTTTTCTCCTTTGTTTCAATGGCACCCATATAACAGTTGCCCTTGACCATTTTCACTATTCTAACTGGCGGTTATACAAATAGTGATTTCTCTAATTAAGACTATGCCTCCAGGTAATTAAAAAACAGCAACACACCAAACAAACAAAAACACCTTTTACCCTTATTAGTCTCTGATTTTAAAAGTTGCAATTTTACTTCCTTCTATAACACACATCATATTTGACAAAATGAAAGTTAAATCTATTTGGAACAAATAAGACTGAGGATTTTTCAATTTATCTCCTATTTTGTCAGCATAGTTCCTGTTTGAAAGAGATTTTGGAGTGTAAATCCTTTGAAAAACAGTATCATTTTAAAAAGCAGAGTCAGCAAAGGACACAAAAACTTCAGTAATGCTCGCTTCACTTAACCTTCAGACTAATCAGAAAACTCACTGTCAGAGCTGAACATGCATAATAAAACGTATACAAGTTAAAAAAAAAAGAAAAGAGAATGTGATCAACAGTTATAAAGCCTGACAATTTAAAATGAAACCGTAAATCTGCAAACATTTAAGAGTAGTTACCCTGGTTAAATTAAGCTTTGTTTGACTTTACTAGGATAGTACATGTGCTTAAAGCCATAACCTCTTCTTCTGGCCCCTCTCTACTTTTCCAAGTGAATTAGTTCATCTGATAAAAAAGTCTGATTTCTCCCCACAGTTTATCTCACTTGTATTCTTAGACCAGTTTGGCTTCACAATATTGTCATTACTTAAACTGAACCAGGAGCTCAAGTGTCTGCATGACCTTACTTGTAAACTTCTGTGTCTCAATGTACTAAGAATCAATTCAGATAGTTGGAAATATTTCCAGATTCTCCAAAATCAGCAGTTACATTACTGATATTTTGAAAATAGTTGACAGTTGTTTTAATTTGCAGCTGGAAAAATCCTACTTGGATGTTTTTTCTCTCTATTTGTGGAGTACAATCAGTTAGTTACAAAAAAAGTACAGTTTACTCTCTAAAAAAACAAGTAAAAAGATTGGAAAACTAAGATTAGTTGCTTTTACAAGCTAGCTATACTTCTTCTCAGACATAAGTTTTTTAAAACAACAGCAACAAAACCCTCTAATATTATTATTTAAATGAGGTCATGTTACTTTCATTAGTTTTTTTTTTGTTTCATCTTCCAATAAATTCAACAGAAATTTTATGATGGCTTGAGTTTATATGATTTTAAAGACCATATCCCTTTCACAATCTCTGCCCAGAGATAATGGAATTGAAGTATGAAGGAAAAAAAAACCCAACAAAACCAAACCAAAACAACAGAAACTTGTCTGATCTACTTTTTAAGCCGTTTTAAATGGAAAATGCAGTGCGAGTCCTCCTTTCTCCCCCCTCCAAAAATAGCTTTTTTAAATTCCTTACTGACATTCTATTAAGTGTTTGCAGAATATAAGTATTAAGGTTGACTATTTGAATATATTATTTCATTTTTCTCAATATCTCACAGCAAAAGTGAATGAATATGAACAAGCCTCATGTCGGTAGTTCTTTTTTATTTGGTTGGCTAAGACACCGCCCACTTGAAAGCAGTGGTTTTGGAGAGTTTTCATTTTCCTGGGGACATTTTGTACTGTGAAATTACGCTCCATTTGTGCACGTTAGTGCAAGGAATCTCACCTGATGTTTCTGCGCTTGCAGATGAGCCATCAGGAGCACCCGGTTCATTTATTAGCCTGCCTTCCCTCTTGCACGAAGCCCATGACCTTACTCATGGTTCCCTTTGACTCCCCTTCTGCCTGGGAGATTGGAAAACTTGAGACCCACCTCCAGCATCTGATTCCAGGGCATGGTTCTTGTGTTCCTTTGTATTTTGGGAGACTCTGTGCATTTGCCTTTCTTTTTACAGCCAGTGATGTGTGGGTTGTCGACACAACACTCCTTGCACAACCAAGACAGCAAGACATGGTGCTCTTTCTGCAGTCAGCATACAGTGAAAATGAAATTGAAATAAAATAAGTCGGCTTCACTTAACTGAGATTGCACCTTTGACTGGCCACTCTAATTGAGTTAAATTTCTGGCTGCATAAAAACAAGCTGGGATTTTCAGTGATCCATGTGGATCACTTTTAGCTGGCAGATTTTACTTTAAGATAATGGGTCAGGTTTTAAGCACAAATCTTAGCATGAAAAGGGTTTAACTTCTAGAGGAGAATGTCACCAACTCACATTGTTGTTTTGGAAAGTCACCACACATGGGGGGAAGCAGTCCTCAGTTTCCCTGTAGAATGAGAGAGACCGATGATGTACGCATAATTCATTTATGCTCCTATCTCGCATCAGGCTGTAGGGATGAAAGACACAATTAGGAAAGAATCATAATTACTGCATAATACAGAAATTTCCATGTCAAAATGCTGCTGAGAAAAATTACAAATAGGAAAGAAAAGAAATGAAAAATTACCAGTGATGAATTTAGAGTTACTCCTGACCTGCATTTGGTTTTGCAGTCTTAAGTGACTATACCTGGGAGCCAATCTTGTTAATCTTTGCTACCACACAGTTTCTAAGACGAAGACATGACTTTCCTTGCTGCTTTGCAGCCAGTAGCCCAGCGTGGAGGGGAAGCCCAAGGTGATGGCTCCATGTCTTGGTGGCTGTCTTGAGCATCCGTGTACTCTGCTTTCACAGCCCCTGCTCATTCAAGAAGTTATGCTCAGAGATACTAGACCTACTTTGTATTTGAGTTTTGGAAGATCTGTTTTCCTTTCCGTATATGCTCTTATCTTTCTCTGCTGGTCTTCCCATACATGTGTAGCTGTATTACTATAATGTTCTACCTCCTGTTCCAGATCATTAATTTACATGCACAGCATCTATTTATGACTAGAACCTTTCCTTTCTCTCTGTCCTCCCCTTTAAATTTTTCTGCTTTGTGTCTAAGATGGCCAAATTTCCCTACTTGCATTTTTTGCTTGGGAGGTATTTAGGCTGTCAAAGAAGAGCTGGTGGGCTACAGAACTGCTGGCCAGAGAGATAGTCCTGGGCATTAGCTGGTTGCTTAATGGGTTAGTGCTGTTGAACCCACACTTAATGATGTCCAAAAGTATTAGTTCCATGTTTTCTCTATAAATCTAATTTGCTTTCATTCATGCTTGCTTTCCTCTGCAATTAGTGCTGTTTTCTCCTGCACAGACTCCACTCCATTTTCACTTCTTTCACTGTATGAAAACAGGGCAAGGCCCTTCTGATGTGTGGTAGCAGCTTTGGAGTTCTGATCCTGCAAAGGGCTCAGCACTTTCCGTTGCCTTTGGAGCAGAAAGCGTTCGACATTGCACAGAATTATTAAAATGTTCAGCATTGTAGCTTTCTGAAATACCTTCCAAATGTGGAACTACAGCACAGACAAGAGGGCTGGGCAAGGGGAAGATCGATTGTGGCAGATTATTACAGCTTTGTTGTCACATAATTATAGTGCTCTACCCCAATGTTTAAATAGTGAATTTAGTCGTCGTAAATTGCTTATTGCCACAGGTGTCAAAACCAAAAAGATTGTAATGCTAACCCCTTCTGAACTACCACCAACATATAAAATAGAGAAAAGGATTTTTAATTGTTTGTGGTGGCTTCACTTATTGCAGTTCCTTAAAATTATACAATCCGTACATAATACACAGATGCAAAAGGCCTGATAGGACAGCCTAGGACAGCTACGAGGCAATGCAAGGTCATCCTTCTGCATTCAACTGTGGTACTCCTGCCCATTTAAAGTATTTTGTAATGCAGCATTTTGTCCTGATCTGCAGTTGAAGGAGTAACCAGAATATTCTTTTCCTTCAAGGCAGAATGAAATTATATGGAAGTTTTACTGCAGACTTTACCCCATTACGGTGATTTTGAAGAGGTTTCTTTAGTTTCAGTCAGGAGGTCCAAGGCCTGCTTTTAGTGTAAGAACTGCACTGCTGAGCAGGAGAGCAGCACCTCAGCCCCACGCCTGGGTTTCAGCCGCACTTCTGGATGTCGCAGTGCCATTTGCATGCCAATATCAAACCAAACTCATATGGCTTGCTTCCTTTTTTTAATTAACTGGGAATGCCAGTGATCCAGTGAAGTTTGTGTTGCTGGATAAAAGGACCGGTCTGTGAATAGCATTGTATTTGCCAAATGGTTCGCTAGTCATTTCAGTACAAACAAATGGATGGTGTCTGTAAGTCTGCAAACACTGTCGACATTTAGCCTTGTTTATGTTACTTTCCTTTTGCTGCATATTTTTGGCTAGAAAAGATACTGTCTGAATCAACACTGACTTCCTAAGCAGAAGCTAAGGACCCAGTCTCACGTCCCTCATTTGCAATGAGTGGGACTACTTACATGACTAAGGATTGCAGAATCAGGTCCTATGTTTATTTGACTTTACTTTTTGTTGCTATATTCATGTAATTTAATTTGATTGTATT